CATTAATTCCTTTCCAAAAATAAAAGAGCATCAAATAACGAAGACGTTTTCATTTTCTTCTGTTTATATTTTTAACATAAAGGCATTTAGAATTCATAATCAATACACGAATCATGTACAAAGATGTATGCAAATTTCCCCTTTAAGAATATGTTTTTGTGTTATACATTTGAGTCACGTGCGAAAAGAAATCAAGAATTCAAAAACTACCCATTGAAAAAAAACCTACGAACTTTTGTTTCAACTCTGAATTTTTTTTTTATATATTTTTTATATTATATCGCCATTTTCTATTTTTTTATATATTTTTTATATTATATCGCCATTTTCTAACTACAAATAATTGTACAGTACAATGAATGATTCGAAGTACGGCTTTGGAATCAAGCGTGTCGGAAAATCGGTGATGCGTTCGTAGGAAGGAAGTTTGTTCCTGTAAATAGTTTAAATTTTTTCTCATAAGAGAGAGAGAGAGAGAGAGAGAGAGAGAGAGAGAGAGAGAGATGATGTTTCGACTCGAATATGTCTCTTGGTTGTGTTTTTTAACAAAAGTTCCCTAAGTTTTTCGTTAACTATTTTTCCGTATTTGCCATCTGAAAGGTTCGAATTTGGAAGAAATGGCATTACATCTTAGCTCTGAATATAAGTCCTCGACAAAATCCAGAGAAGGATATGCAATATGATAGATCCTGATCTGGCATCTCGTCTACAGTCCCTTTCTCACAGACGTGCTGTAGCTTCCCGTTGTCCTTTCTATAAATATTTTCATGGTAATTGCTCTGACGAGCTATTTTCAATGGTACCCCAACTGCATGAATTTGAGCGTGCTACTAGGTTGTCATCTCGGTGCCACATTTTCACAGTCGAAACAATTAAATGAAACCGCCTCTTCTACTCCAACAGATTCTTTTCTCGCACTTCCCGGCAGTGGAACTCCCTTCCTCTTACTTGCTTCCCTAATAGCTATAATCTTCAAATATTCAAATGTAATGTCAATTGATTTCTTCTGATGTCATGATCTCCTTCTCTATATCCTTTCCTCAAACAACCCTTTTAAGCTTGCTCTCACTCCCTGTAACCCTTTGCGTGCTGATGGCACTCCCACCTTGCTTGGTGTGAAATGCTTAAAAAAAATCCTGTATATATGATATTCCCTTTGAGCTTTTTTTTTATCACTTTTTAACCTTAGACTGGTACAAGGCAAGAAGTTTGAAGAACTAGGCTAGGATTGGTTGCTGCAAATTAGTATTTATTTGCTAACTACAGGGCACTGGCTCTTGTTTGAAGGCGTTGTGTATTTCTCCTCGCTGTCAATGATCAGCGTTCAAACTAAAATAAAAAGCCTCCCTTAAGAATGATAATTTTCAAACAAGTTTTGCCTGTACGAAAAACTATCAGAAAAAACACTTTCTTTTTCTAATATAGACTTGTATCAGGCTTAGATAGATAGACAGATAGATAGATGGTGAATAGCTTCAGATAGATAGATAGATAGATAGATAGATAGATAGATAGATAGATAGAGAGAGAATAGCTTTAGATAGATAGATAGATAGATAGATAGATAGATAATGAACAGAATGTGATAGATAGATAGTGAATAGCTTCAGATACATAGATAGATAGATAGATAGAGAGAGAGAGAGAGAAAGAGAGAGAATAGCTTTAGATAGATAGATAGGGAATAGCTTCAGATAGATAGATAGATAGATAGATAGATAGATAGATAGATAGATAATGAACAGAATGAGATAGATAGATAGAGAGAGAGAGAGAGAGAATAGCTTTAGTTAGATAGATAAATAGATAATGAACAGAATGTGATAGATAGATAGATAGATAGATAGAGAGAGAGAGAGAGAGAGAGAGAGAGAGAGAGAGTGAGAGAATAGCTTTAGATAGATAGATAGATGATGAACATGATAAATTCCAATATTTACTAAATTTAGTCTGGCACAAAGACATCTACATGGTACATCTAAAGACTCTTGAACTCACTACAGTTGTAATAACTGTTTTGATCACCGATCCAAGCGATCAACCCTGATAACTCTTTTGATTGATTCGTTCGGCATCAGTTTTTTTTGTTCTTCAATGTCTTTGCCATTTTTTGGTGTGTCGGCGTTACAGTTCATTTGTTTGACCATTTGATCATTTTTTTCTTTTATGATTTCGTGTTTCCATTACAAATTGCTTGTTCGTGTTTGAAGGCCTCTGTATATTTCGCACAAAAGTGAGTTTCTGACAATTTGCCCAAGTGACATTGTTTGATGAAATTAAATCTAGTGATTCAGTTTAAAAATAATTTATCCACAACAGGTTTGTTGCTTTTATTAGCTTCAAGAATTTAATAAGTTCAAGGATTTATATAAAGGTCGAAATCCTTTGTGCCAATACTTTATCAAAAACAGTGATGAGGAGTTTTTAAAGTTAACAAAAACGAGGAAATAGATTAAATAATTCATAAGCTATACACTATCTATCTATCTATATATCTATCTCATTCTGTCCATATCTATCTATCTATCTATCTATCTATCTATCTATCTATCTATCTATCTATCTATCTCAGTCTGTCCATATCGATCTATCTATCTATCTATCTCATTCTGTCCATATCTATCTATCTATCTATCTTCGGCACCTCGAGGTGGTGTAATGGTTAGCAAGCTTGTCTCGTTAGAACAATTACGACTGAGTAGTGAGTTCGATTCTCACTGGGTGCCCCCTAATTTCGGCCTTGTGCCACATATAAGCTACGCTTGGAAAATCTCTATTTATCTATCTCATTCTGTTCATTATCTATCTATGCTTTATTTCAGGAAAAATCTAATAGATTACACTGATTAGTGATACTGTGATGGTAAATGATAGGAAATATAATACAACTGACATCATGGAAAAGTCCAGACAAATATTGTTGGATGCCTTTTTTCTTAATGTATAATCTTCGTAAATTTTACTCCAGTTAAAAATAAAGATAGATTGTTGTCTTGTCCGAAAAGAGTACCAGCTTCTTTTAATCTGTTTTCGATCCAAAAATGTCTTTATTCAGTTGAGAGAATGCAGTAATGGTGAAACATCCAATATACAGACACGGCTCAAAACGATCAACTGAGAACAGATGTTTTCAACGAGTCGCAACAGCTAAGTTTTTCGTTTGCAGATAAAAACAAGAATGTTAATTGAAAAGATTAGACAGAAATACATTGCTAAAGAAAATAATAAAAATGAGTTTAGCTTCCAAGAAACGAACTCGTAATAATTAATTTACGTGAACAGACGTTATCATTTTGACCTTTTTAGTCGACAATGCTCTCCTCATGATGTTTTGAACAATCTTTTTGTTCTATCTATCTATCTATCTATCTATCTATCTATCTATCTATCTATCTATCTAAAGCCATTCTCTCTTCCTTTCTCTCTCTCTCTCTCTCTCTATCTTGTTCTGTTCATTATCTATCTATCTATCTATCTATCTGAAGCTATTCTATCTATCTATCTATCTATCTATCTATCTATCTATCTATCTATCTATCTATCTACCTAAGCCTGATACAAGTCTATATTAGAGAAAGAAAGTGTTTTTGTGATATTATTTCATACAGGCAAAACCTGTTTGAAAATTCTTAAGGGAGGCTTTTTTTATTTTAGTTTGAACGCTGATCATTGACAGCGAGGAGAAATACACGACGCCTTCAAACAAGAACCTGTACCCTGTAAAGATAGATAAAGATATAGATATAGTTACATAGTATACATAAAATACTAGATGTAGTTTAGTCTTGGCACAAATGACTCAGTGGAGATTGACTTTAATCATCACTGGATTTTTGTCAGCAAAAATGGTCTGCCGGACTAGTTTGTTAAGTAGGCGTACCGAGGGGTATCTTTAAATTATGGAGAGGATCTAAAAGTTTTTTTTTACCTGACTCAATTTCCAAAACCTGACCTAATGACCAAATAAGAATTTTACCGGTAAGGGCTTTTCTCACCCAATGATATTAAATATGTTCTCCTTGCGAAAAAGCTTGTTGACCGCATTATAATAGGAAATCTATCCGGCAATAATATAGCATTACCTACAATGTTGTATACCTTGGAAAATGGCGCCTTAGTCCTTTTCAGATAATTGAGTTTTTGCCCACTTATCCTAGCGTCCATTCCACTTTTGAAAGATTCTCTGTAGAGATGATCATCAACTGAATCTACGGTTTCTCCTTAATTTGTTTAACAGTGCAAAACTCATTTCTTTTTAACTATGACCGCCTTTTATAAGCTGCATCTTTCCAAGACAGGGACAATCATAGTTCTTCTATTTTACGTTCCTCAATTTGTAGTTTTGAGATATTTTATTTGGCATCCCATCAGTTGCTGTGTTCGAAGTTGTGTTTGTTATTGTGGCTTTTCTTTTTTTTTCTTTCCCTTCCTTCCTTCCTTCCTTCCTTCCTTCCTTCCTTCCTTCCTTCCTTCCTTCCTTCCTTCCTTCCTCCTGTCTTTCTTTCCTTCCTTCCTTCTTTTCCCTTCCTTCTTCCTTCCTTCTTCCTTCCTTCCTTCTGTCTTTCTTTCTTTCCTTCCTTCCTTCTTTTCCCCCTTCCTTCCTTCCTTCCTTCCTTCCTTCCTTCCTTCCTTCCTTCCTTCCTTCCTTCTTTTCCTTCCTTCCTTCCTTCCTTCCTTCCTTCCTTCCTTCCTTCCTTCCCCTTTTCCTTCCTTCCTTCCTTCCTTCGTTCGTTCGTTCGTTCGTTCCTTCCTTCCTTCCTTCCTTCCTTCCTTCCTTCCTTTTTCCCTTCCTTCCTTTCTTCCTTCCTTTACTTCCTTCCTTCCTTCCTTCCTTTTCTGTTCTACAATTTCTTTTGCAATTTCTAGATCCTCCATTTTCCATCCTATCAGTTTTACTGCACCTTTTGGCTGTCACATTTCTCCTTTCGCGCAACCTCCTTGACCTTTGACCTATGCCGATTTGTACATATGAACATACTCAACACACTTGGCTAATTGCCATGACAACAAACATCCCATTTTGTTCCTCCCTCTCTTCTTTCTTGTTTTCTGACTTTCCATCGCGTACATCCATAATACATAAACATGCATACACAGGGCGCTTACTGTAGAGCGGTGGAATGCAAAATCATCTTTGAGAACAAGGACAAGGGTTTGCCGGGAAATTATTGGATCATTTTGAATATCTTGAGAAACAGATGCGTACCATTGATATAACTTAGTAACCAATCAGCAAGTACACTAAGACTTAGGCTTGAACAGAGACTCTTCCCTGGGCTTACCCAGTCGTTAGTTAGACGCCATTGAGTGAGATTGTATACTGTGTAACATTTGCTTTCTTTTGTAGGTTTATATTTCATATAATTCATTTTCATTACTATCCAGATTTGTCGACGTGTGACTTCTGTTTTTTTTTATGCCTGAAATTGGCATCTGTCTATATTTCTGAGATGAGGTATTATGTACATTATTTACATTATTCGGACTATTGTCCTCATCTTTGTTGCCATATTTATTACATTTCGGCCTTTTAGTATCTGTCTGTATTTCTGAGATGAGGTATTATGTACATTATTTACATTATTCGGACGATTGTCCTCATCTTTGTTGCCATATTTGTTACAACATTTCGGCCTTTCAGTATCTGTGTATATTTCTGAGATGAGGTATTATGTACATTATTTACATTATTCGGACTATTGTCCTCATCTTTGTCGCCATATTTATTACAACATTTCGGCCTTTTAGTATCTGTCTATATTTCTGAGATGAGGTATTATGTACATTATTTACATTTTTCGGAATATTGTCCTCATCTTTGTTGCCATATTACAACGTTTCGGCAGTTGTACGATCCGGCCTTCTTCAGGCGGTTGGAGTGTCCAACTGAACCCTTTATTTTCTGAGATGAGGTACTATGTACGCTATTTACATTATTTGGACTATCGTCCTCATCTTTGTCGTCATATTTATTACAACGTTTCGGCCGTTGTGCGCTCCGGCCTTCTTCAGGTGGTTGGAATGTAGAACTGAACCCTTTATTTTATGAGATGAGGTATCATGAACACTATTTACATTATTCACACTATCGTCCTCATCTTTGTCGCCATATGTATTACAACATTTCGGCCGTTGTACGCTCCGGCCTTCTTCAGGTGGTTGGAATGTCGAACTGAACCCTTTATTTCGATCACTGTTCTAGTTCCACGTGCCATATTTAAATTGCCTTTGAAAATACTGTGGCTCAGATTAAAATTAAGGAGAACCTGAAGAAACAGCTGATGGTGATCCCGATGGGATTTTGCAAACAATTTTCAAAAGTTTGAATGGATGCTAAGAGACCACTTCCCTAGGTCGTCTACACATATTAAATGGCTGAATACTTCTTGGACAAATATAGTACAGCCCATGAGGTCGTCTATTGTTATGTTCGTGTATAAGATTAATTTATCTGCCTGGGAATCTTTTTGTAGCGTGATGTGGACTCGAACTATGGCTAAGGTTTAGAGTTCAATCTTCACTTGTGGGCTTGTACCACACTAAACTTTGTAAATATCTAGTGCAACTGGTAGAAATAATTTGTGAACTATTCTCACAAACAGCCAGTTTATTACTTATTGGGTGTTTAATTATTTGGACCTTGTGACAGACAGCATAAAAATAGCATGTCACTCAGAGAGTAATGCTCCAGTTTATTATGTTGGTCCATGATATCAAAGAGCGTTGTTGGTGGTATGACAGTAGATGATGAACTTTCCAACTAACAACCTATAATTATTTTAGTTTTGTTAAAGATAACAGTTGAGTGGCAGTTTGATAAAATAGCGCGTGTCATGAAATTCCCCTATACGAAAAAATTCAAACCACTGACATTCATCGGATCTTTTTAACGTTTCCACAAGATCGTTTAAATTTGGCGCCTTCCAATTTTCAAGTTATTTCTTGACAATAACGTCTTAATAAGGTATTATAATTAGAAGTATAGTTTGACTACAAAATAACACGTTCGTATTCCACGTATTAGAGTGATGAAAAAGCACATAATCTCGACACTTGATTTAATAACTATTATTATTAGAGGTAAAGAAAACATAAATAGCGAACAGTTAAACATCGTAGTAAGAGAAGTAAATAACTAAAAATTAGATAATGTCAGTATTATGTAGGGTCATTATTATTATTATTAATAAATAAAAATAAAATATAAAGCAATAATAATAATAATAATAATAATGAATATCATAAATAAAACTATTGTGGTTTCCTCACTCTAAAGAGTTGGACTCTTCCGCCTTCTATAAGATTAGTAGGAGAGAATGATTTGGGGGAACAGTCGAATAGATTGTTCATCTGCCGAATTCTCTGCTTCGAGCAGAGAGCAACATGAACGAGGCTTTGCCGCAGGGCAAAGTTTCGTCCCGGGAGGTAGACAGGCCCTGAACATGTTTAGGCGGGTTCTAAAGGAATATTTTGGGCCGAGCCTACGGGATCGGAATACCCACAATAAACCGGCCTTGTGTCACATACACCATTGTGGGGAGGGGGCTGTTAAATATTAACAGTCGAATAGATTGTTCGACTGCCGAATCCGGACGAGGCTATGCTGCAGGGCAAAGTTTCGTCCGGGGAGTTAGACAAGCCCTGAACCCGTTTATACGGGTTCTAAGGGAATATTTTTGGCCGAGCCTACGCGCTCGGAGAACCCACGGTAAACTCAGCCTTGTGTCACATACATCCCTGGTGGGGGACTGTTAAATATTAACAGTCGAATAGATTGAATGCTGGGTCAACCGGTACACACTCACTAGTCGTGTAATACTTTTCTGTTGTACTTACTGTTTAATACATAATTTATCTGTAACACTTGTTTTGTTATTTCTTTAACCATTTACTTGGTCACAACAAAAACATATAGCATTAAAACGATGTTTAAAATAAATTAAATAAAACCAAATGTATATATATTTCCTGATAGCTATAATCTCCAACTATTCAAATGTAACGTCAATCGACGTCTTCAGATGACCTGATCTATCCCCTATCCTTCTCTTCATCCTTTCCTCTATCACTCCTCTTTGTTCTCGCTCCAAGTCTCTGTAATTCCTTGCGTGATAGTGGCCCATAATAATAATAATAATAATAATAACGGAAGCAAAAGGAGCAAAAGGAGTCAAATAATCATTTCTTTTATTGACTTCAAAACCTTAAATACGCTCTCGTTATGGAACAATAAGACATCATACTAGCTTCAGTTAAAATTCCAGAACTGATTTTGCAATATGCGAAATGTTTGCTAATCTTTACAATTTCAACCCAGCAAACAAATGAAATAATAGAGTGCCAATATAGAAGACTAAAAAAAAAAACAGATATAATGGCTAGAAAACGAAACTGGATAAACGCCCTGTCAATTGTCCTTCTTCAAATAAGAAATGTACCGACTGAAGACAATATCTTGCCCGACATCGCTCTCACTGGAACCCCATTAATGCTTCCAAAACCATTAATAGGGCATAACCATTCTACCAATACCATAAAAAAAAAACAACAACAAAAAAACAAAAAAAACAAAAAACAAACATTAAGCAATTTTCTGAAGAGATAAGTAAGCTGAACATATATTTCCTTTATGAATGACGGTTATATTCAGCTAAGCTAATAACAGATAACGAAATATATATATATAGACATACACAATAACAAAAATGTTGTTTTAAACCTCCCCTCAACACACACACAAAAAACAGTCAAGTAAGATATCTCTGTAACATAACGTTTTTAATTTAAGCAATCTTTGTATTTATATATTTTATATCAAGAGTTAAAATATTTATTAATAAATAGAATTAAATGTCACTTATCTTATCCCTACTCTGAGTTTCGAGTTTTGGTGTGAAATTTTATTTATTTTTATTTATTTTATAATAAATTAAATTTTGGAATCAAATCCCTTGTCTACGAAAATCAAAACAGGAATAATATACATTATTTACATTATTCGGACTATTGTCCTCATCTTTGTCGCCATATTTATTACAACGTTTCGGCCGTTGTACGCTCCGGCCTTCCTCAGGTGGTTGGAATGTCGAACTGAACCCTTTATTTCGTTCACTGGGGTAGGCTGTTGTAGTCCCACGTGCCATGTTTTAATGGAGGTCAGTTATCAGTTATCCCCTGTTAATTTCCCTCTGAAAGTTCTCCACTGCCTGAACCGGATAAAGGCGTTAGATCCAGTGACAGGACCCAAAGAGTCTGAGTTCAGTACCCCAAAATCAGCCAATGGTTTCTTTTATTTTTCCTACGATCTCTTGCGTTCCTTGTTGCCGTAAAGTATCCACTTATCATCGCACTTCCAAGTTTCTTTCAAAAACCGCAACATTCGCTTCAGTGATTTTCTCGTTTCAAAGCAAAAAAAGGCACATTTCAAAAACAACGCACATGATTTGATTTGGATATTATGTGTATATTGATTAACTCTCACGCTGTATAACATTGGTTGTTCTAAAGTAAAATCTTGATTGATTTGGTCGACTGTGGAGTATCATTCAACGAGAAACCTAAAAACTTTCAGAATCTATTGATATATTCGCTTATTCAACGTACATTTTTTGTATAAAGAGTTTTTTGTGTTTCAGCAACGTTATTATCTTACTTAACGCAAAAAGAAAATATGAAAATGTTGCTTTTTTTCTTCTTTAATATAAGAATCATTAAAAAGAATTCACTAATTTTGACATTAAACAGACGCTGATGTGACAGTGATAAAACAAAGCGATCTTCTTTTTTTTAATATAGTGAAATATGACAGCTCCTTATGCCATTTAATAATAAATACAAAGGAAAGTTTTTAACCAATCCAATATCTACTTCCCTCTCAGCACCTCAAAGATCTAGATAATCGGACTAAAAAACCAACTTACAACTGTATTATGTAATACAATATAACCTCCGCCCGTTGCTTATCGTGAAAAACAAAAAAAACAAAAGTGCAACCTCTCCCTCACTGACCGCCGGGTTGCAGGTTCAGCCAACGAACTATCGTTTTGATAGTTTGAAATAACTGAGTGAATGAGATTTTCTATTTCAATGATTTCTCTATAAAAGCGAAATAAATCCAACTGAGATAAGAATGTTATTTGCCAATGGCATTTTGAATAAGCGATGTCGAATAACAAAAGTTCAAAGTTGAGTAAAGTACAGCACTTGGCCTTTCATATATTTCTAGACAGAGTTGCTTTTCGCAGTTATAAATTCTCGATCAGCTTTCTCTTAATCAGATGTTTGCTTCTATTGTAGTCATTTGCGTAGTTCTCCTTACAGTGTTGTTCTTAACCAACCCTGTCTACATTTGTATTTTTTTTCTGCTTATCTATTTTTTTATTTATTTATTTATTTATTATTATTATTATTTCCTTCGATTTCTGTCGTATACTCATTTTCTTTCAGAGACTAACCATAGACCTAAGCGCAGAAATGATATCCCGATATTTTACACTGCACATTTGTGTAAAATAAACAACCTACAAATGCACGCATATATTTCACATAGGTAAAGCCCTTCGTAGAGTGTGAGCTGTGCATGTGAAAACAATTTTTGGATTTCTTTAAGATATCGGCTACCAGGGAACATTCACGATATCTTAAAATCATTAACTCTGTTTGTAATTATATTTAGGGCAGTATCTAATACGATATTGATGATGAACATAATCAATAACTTTATGTTGATTATGAGCATAATCAATAACTTCATGTTGATTATTAACATAATCAATAACTTCATATGGATTATTAACATAATCAATAACTTCATGTTGATTATGAACATAATAACTTCATTCTGATTATGAACATAATAACTTTATGTTGATTATGAACATAATCAATAACTTCATGTTGATTATGAACATAATCAATAACTTCATACTGATTATTAACATAATAACTTCATGATGATTATGAACATAATCAATAACTTCATGTTGATTATGAACATAATCAATAACTTGATATTGATTACGAAAATAGTCAATAACCTCATGTTGATTATGAACATAATCAATTACTTTATGTTGATTATGAACATAATCAATAACTTTATGTTAATTATGAACATAATCAATAACTTTATGTTGATTATGAACATAATCATTAACTTCATGTTGATTATAAACATAATCAATAACTTTATGTTGATCATGAACATAATCAATAACTTCATGTTGATTATGAACATAATCAATTACTTCATATTGAACATAATCAATAACTTTATGTTGAAACTGAACATAATCAATAACTTCATATTGATTATGAGCATAATCAATAACTTTATGTTGATTATGAACATAATCAATAACTTTATATTGATTATGAACGTAATCAATAATTTCATATTCCAGAATATTCGAAACGCTTGAGCAAGGTCCTTTACTAAGCTGTTTTCCTTTCTTTTTTCAATTTCTAAATTACATGCTCTATTCAAAAGAATTTCTATTGTTTTTGCAAGACGGCTTGCTTAGCCAGGGCTGACAAATTTGTTTCAAGGGACAAATCCTAAACAAATTTATATTTCTCGTGCACAAAGACATCTTTTGTTATCATCATTATTAAGAAAGTTAAGTTAAATACATAAGAAGGCATACACACGAAAAACCCGAATATGTGTCTTTGTGTCAGACTGTGTGTGTATAGAGATGGCTTTTATTTGAAGTTTCTCCAAATGTATTTAAGTGTATGGTTGTGCAATAAAACAGAAAAGGAATTCATTATATCAGTTTTTAGCTGTATTGATAAAATATCTATCTATCTATCTATCTATCTATCTATCTATCTCTAATCATATCTATTTAAGTCTATTCATTATCTATCTATCTATCAATCTATGTGTACTTTCGATCCTGCCAGGCATTTCACTATTGAGACTTTGTGCCACTCTAACCCTAAATTTAGAACACAAACACACACACAGACACACACATATGCGTGCGCAGATATATTTTAAAGTAATTCATTAATGAAGGTAATTCGAGCCTCTTTGGGTTTCTCACTATGTCTATGCTCAAATCAGTTTGCTGCTGAGTTTTCGGTCGCCATTTTTTAAAGAGTGCATTTAGGGTACTTTTGGGTACCTTTGTACGCACCTAATAAATAATCAATATTTTTTCTAAGAGGGCATAATATTTTCTTTAATATGACTAAACAAAAATCAGTACGAAAAAATAGAAAACCTCGCGGGTGTCTTCCTGCTACTCTTGACAGAAAATAAAAACTAATCAGAAATATAGTTGTTTGTAGAAAATATGATACAGAAATACGAAGGTGTATTTTAGTCACGAAAGATGTCTTCTAAATGCTAAGCAGAGTATTAAGAAAATGGAAAATGTCGTTAGAAACAAATTAAAAACGTATGGTTTTCAGCAGAAGGAACAACACGACAAGCGAGAGATATCAAAAATCAAACACGTACGAAAATACAATTATCTGAGAATCGTTTGAAGTGAATACGGAAAGTGTGACACCGAAATCCGAAGGTGAATTCTAGCTGCGAAAGATGTCTTCTAAACGCTAAGCAAAGTATTAAGAAAGAAGAAAAATATCATTATAAACAAATTAAAAATGTATGTTTGTCAAAAAATGGGAAAAAAACCCCAATAAAACAAAAACAAAAAAAAACATGTGTTCTACGAAGCGGAGTTATCAAAATCAAACAATTGCGAAAATACAAATATCTGGGAATTGTTTGATGGAGAACGGAAAATATGACACCGAAATCCGAAGAAGCTTTGAAATAGCGAAAGATGCCATCCAAAAGCCAATCTAAGTATTAAGAATCAGGAATATTTCATTAGAAACATGAAAAAGCGTGTAAGACTGTTATGTAATGCAAATACAACTCTATGGCAGTGAATGTTGGACAATCTCCTCCCAATATGAAGAAGAGACTTGAGGCAATAGAAATATAGTTATACAGGCGGACGCTGGTTATCCCATGTAAGTAACGAGGACGTTTTAAAAAAAATGGAAGAAAAACTATATACTTATGTCATTAGAATAATACTGACAACGAGGAAAGAGAGGGGGAATTACAGAGCGTATTATATGCAAGCGAGACAGAGAGAAACATCGAGCAACCGACGTCATAAGCTTTTGTAAATAGATGGCAGAACAGAGACTGGAAGTGATAGTGAAAAGTTAAACCTTACTAGGAGCTACAAAGGATACGATGTTGTGGAGGGCCATGATCGTCTACATTACAAATAGACGTGGCACATAAAAGAAGACTTCCAAGTTGTCCAAGTTACATGTTCCTCTTTATGATATTGAAGTAGAAAATGGCTGTGTTTGATTTCATGCCTTTAACCAGAGTCCTTAATATTCTGCCTAGTCTCTCTCTCTCTCTCTCTCTCTCTCTCTCTCTCTCTCTCTCTTTTTACATTTGCAACGCCAGCTTTTTTCAAGTATTTTCTTGTTAGTCAATCTACTTTGCTTGCTTACTGACATTCCGGTTTGTGAGACATTATGAAAGCCAGGTTTGCTTGTTCGTATCTGGCCGAAGTTTTAAATTTCTTCTTTTTATTTTTTTTAAATAAAATAAAGTTATTTGAAAAGTATTTTCTTTAACAATGAAGTTCAAATAAAATCAATCGCTCAGTCGCTTATATTGAATCACATATTTTCACGCTAATGTAGAATTTATTGTAAAATTATTTTTCTGACAGCGCTGCTACATTGGCAAGAAAGTAGACATATTCCAAATTGTTTCATATATTTACTGTTCCATTAGATACTCATCCAACTTTAATCATTTCTATCTATCTATCTATCTATCTATCTATCACAGTCCGTTCTTATCTATCTATTTCTATCACAGTCTGTGCTTATCTATCTATCTATCTATCTATCTATATCTATCTATCTATCTATCTATATCTGATCATATTTATTTAAGTCTATTCATTATCTATCTATCTATCTATCTATCTATCTATCTATCTATCTATCTATCTATCACAGTCCGTTCTTATCTATCTATTTCTACCACAGTCTGTGCTTATCTATCTATCTATCTATCTATCTATCTATCTATCTATCTATCTATCTATCTCTGATCATATTTATTTAAGTCTATTCATTATCTATCTATCTATCTATCTATCTATCTATCTCAGTCCGTTCTTATCTATCTATTTCTATCACAGTCTGTGCCTATCTATCTATCTATCTATCTATCTATCTATCTATCTATCTATCTATCTATCTATCTGTAGTTTTCGATCCTGCCAGGCATTTCACTATTGAGACTTTGTGCCACTCTAAGCCTAAATTTCTATTTTTAGAAGCACATTCTGCCTAAGGAATATGACGGTTGCGTCTGGGTGGGGTCATGCTTAATGAGCTACTCTGTCTGGCCATTATTATTTTATAGTGAGTTCGATCCTCACAAACACACACACAGACACACACATATGCGTGCGCAGATATATTTTAAAGTAATTCATTAATGAAGGTAATTCGAGCCTCTTTGGGTTTCTCACTATGTCTATACTCAAATCAGTTTGCTGCTGAGTTTTCGGTCGCCATTTTTTAGAGTGCATTTAGGGTACTTTTGGGTACCTTTGTACGCACCTAATAAATAATCAATATTTTTTCTAAGAGGGCATAATATTTTCTTTAATATGACTAAACAAAAATCAGTACGAAAAAATAGAAAACCTCGCGGGTGTCTTCCTGCTACTCTTGACAGAAAATAAAGACTAATATAGTTTGTAAAATTAATGCGGAGATTAATCCATTTTCGTTTTTCATTATTTTTTCTTAAGCTCCCCAATCACTAAGCTTACCTTAGTCTAAGGCCACATATATGAGGCCCTCAGTGAGGATCGAACTCACTATAAAATAATAATGGCCAGACAGAGTAGCTCATTAAGCATGACCCCACCCAGACGCAACCGTCATATTCCTTAGGCAGAATGTGCTTCTAAAAATAGAAATAGATCCAAAGAATGGTGCTTAATTTTTGTGCTTTGTGGAGTCAGGGAGTTGTAAGGGTTTGTCAGCTGTAAGCAGCTGTGTTACGTTTGGGGTAAGCGATTAAAGATGAAATCTTCTCTATTCCGTTAACTTCTCGCACGATACAGCAACCTTTATGACACGTCAGGTAACCGCTGCTACCTCTGCTGCTGCTGCTGCTCCACTTGCTAGTGCAGCTATTTTTAAGATTATACACGATCTGTGGGTAACCCTGTTTCATTGCTTACCTGTTTACCAAAATTATTTTTTTAGCTTCGCGCCAACATTTTTTTACGTTCTTCGCTTCCATTTTTACTCATTTCTTTCTTTCTTTCTTTCTTTCTTTCTTTCTTTCTTTCTTTCTTTCTTGTTTTTCATTAATGGAGCAATGCCAACCCTAACTCTAACCCTAACCCTCTTAATTTCCCAGTCATCGCTCTCTTTCTTTTTCTCTCTCTCTTTCTCAATAAAAGTTCACTTTCTCTTGTTTTCTCGTATTCACGCTCATGCATGTTCACACACAAACGTTAGCATATACAGAATAGAAAACACATACATATATACCAGAAAAACCATTACCTGAAATATGATAAAGGCTGATACATCCAAGCCCACTCACATGCACACATAACACACACACACACACACACACATAAACAGCCAAGTCTTAATATATATATATATATATATATAAGCAATCGCACAATCATGCCATTAAAAAAATGAGCGATAGACGCAAACATATAAAATGCACTTAAATTCATTTCCGTATCTCGGTGTGTGTGTAATAAATATACATATGAGCAGATAAATACGAATTGATTAAATATACATAGGTATGAACAATTCGGATATACATATATATATATATATATATATATATATATATATATATATATATATATATATATATATATATATATATATGTGTGTGTATATATATATATATATATATATATATATATATATATATATAGCTAGGTAGATAGATGTACATATGTACTTTAAAATAGCTGACATTGTTCAGCAATTATTACAATTATTATCCATTTGAAAATCTGTCACACTGAAGAATATACATTTAAGAATCTGTCTTTGAAAAAGTCTTTTGTGGACTGGCATTGCCTTTCCACAATTCAAGCTCATGAAACTATTCATGAATTTTAAATCTTCGACACACACACGTCAGATACCACCGAAAATTATCTTTCTGAAAAGAATGAATTAAAAAAAAACACACGCATTTTCCCAAGAGTTGATCCACAGAAAGTTAGCTTCTTACGAAAGAAAAGAGCGAAATGGCATTTATTTACTGGCTGAAGTAGTTGCATCTTTACCACAGGCTTCAGTGACAGGTATTTAAGGAAGGAATAAAAAAAAAAAGACAATTCATAAGGCAGACATTTTTCTCATTTCAACATTTGTACAACGGAATTTTTCTGGCATCTTTCTCTCGGGTCATCGCATTTGCTTTTGGTCAGTGTCCAAACAATGGAAAACGCACACACATATAGATATGTACAACAATAGAATATCAGTTGTGACCAATGGTCTCGCGAACTGACCATTATAGTGTAACCATCAGTACAGCATGTTCAATCCTCAATGACGGCTACACTAATGTGGCCTTTTTTCTAAACTGTACAAAACTCTGTAGACCTCTACATTTATGGGAAGTTTTATATCTTTATATTTCCGTACTTTTCACCTATATATACCGTAATTCCTCATGTATAATACGCATTTTTTCTAAAAGAAATAAGCAAAATTATGGGTGCGTATTATGCACAGCTACAAAAAATCTTTAAAAAATTGCCGTTTCATAGGTTGATTTCAGTTGCGAAATGACTACTCACCACAAACATACGACAATTTGACACTAACATTCGGCGATTGTGACTCCAGAAGGATGTCAAATATAATCATATGTACCTAACAATACTTACAAATGTAAACTAAAATAAGAATTATCGTAAAAATAAATTAGAATAATATTATTATTTGTTTAAAACAATTTTTAAATAAGAGTAGGAAACGCTGGTAGTAATGAAATTGGAGAGGTACAATTTATAGGGTTTGATTACCAAACAAAGGGTGCGTATTATGCATGAATAAAGGCATTTTCCCAGACTTTAGGGGTGCGGATTATGGATGAAGGGTATTATACATGGGAATTACATGGGAATATATATATATATATATATATATATATATATATATATATATATATATATATATATGACCACTAATATATATATATATATATATATATAGACCACTATATATATATATATATATATATATATATATATATATATATATATAATATATATATATATAAATATATTATTGGTCAATATATATATATATATATATATATATATATATATATATATATCAATATATATATGTATATATATATATGGTCAATATATATATATATATATATATATATATATATATATATATATATATATATCCTCCATGCAAATTATTTCTATTCCTTTACTCTCACACCAACTCAACCTTATTCTCTCTCATTCTCGCCCTCTCCCATAAATCACTTACTCTTTTCTCCTTCTCTCTTAATGTTCCTTTTTTTTCTCTCTTTTAAATACTCCTTCTTTTTAACGCTGCAAACGATCTAGTTTTTCCCTTTCTCTTTCCAGAAGTTGGTTTCATCTCATTCTCCCAAATGTTCGCATTCTCTCTTAATATACCCCCGTTCTCTCTCAGACATTTTCTCTCTTTTCATTGAACAAATACAAAGTCTCACGTCTCTAATGCTCATAAAGTCTCTATTATCTATTTCGGCCGCCCAATCGTGACCCGATCTCGCCTACTCCCAAAGTCTCTTTCTTTCTTAATGTACTCAGCATTCTCTTGTCCAAATAGAAAACCATTTTCTCCTTCACACATAAAATCTTTAATCTCTCACCCTCTCTCTATATCTTGGAACTCTCTCACCTCACAATGTCTCTTTCTCTCTTAATGTTCTCTCTCTTCCAAATTCAAATTTTTCTCTCATATAAAATGTCTCCATATTTTACTTCCCATTCTCAATTCTCCCTTTCTGTCTCCCTTTCCCGAACAGAACTAGTCTCTCTTTTTATTTTGCCAATCTTCTGTCTCTGGTTCATATATACTCCAATCTCTCTCACACCCGGCAAATGCAGGTTGTATATAGGCGAACACACGATCACACACATACGACGGTAAACAAGCACTAATAAACCATTCGTTCATCTCCACACAACAGTAAATACTACAAATATTAACAACAACTAAGCGGTAGTCTTCTCATTTTCTCTCGCTATTTAGAACTACCCGTATCGTTATTAGGCCGAGTCTCCCTTTTTTCTATGAAATACTAACGAACTGATATGCTTGCTTGTGCCTTTCATTCTAAAGACCTTTTCTTTTCTTTAAATATTTTATTTATCTCTCCTCTCTTTCTCTCTCTTTCTCTCTCTCTCTCTCTATATATATATATATATATATATACACATATATATTTAGTGATCTAGCTATATACCTATATATACTGGTTTTTCGTTCTTGAACCTGTTGAAATGAGGCCTCGATATATCAAAAGCTGGACCTCCGCCCACGCTCCGCAACAAAGTAAAAGATTTTATCAAAATTGCCTGTTGCTCCTCTCACTCGGTTTGCGTCCAATTTAGTCGGCATAACTGGCGCCAAAACAAAAGCCATCGAGACACATTTAATGAAAGAATAAAAAAAATTCTCACAAATCGATAACAGTCGATACATTGGGTTTTCGTGACACCTTCCATGGAAGAGGCTGACAAGTGAAACACACGCCTTCTGACCTTTTTTTGTTTCAGCTGGGAGTCTCAACCAGATCTCATTTGGAGGCCACGTGACCTATACGATTGATCACGTGACATAAACTTCAGCAAAGGTAAGGCCTTTTACAATTGTTTGTTTTCCTTTGCTCTTTTACGTGTTGTTAAAACAAAAAACTTTTACGTGAAATATGAAGACGATTTTTATAAACAGTTTAAAAAAAACATTTTGCACGCATTTTGCGAACCTTTCGTTTAGTGTAAGACACTCGACACTCTTACAAGCATGCATATATATATATATATATATATATATATATATATATATATATTACATCAATAAATATATACACCCACTTGTGTTGTATGTGTGTATTATCATGCACACTACGTGCGTCTAGTGTATCAGTTTGGAACTATTTCTTAAGTATTGCTGAGTTTGACACATGGCTATGAGCAGTTTTAGGAATGTTAATCCCACTCATTTAATTTCCGATTAGGTTTAACGTTACTTCCATTCACTGATTAAGAAATTTGGGTGATAAGACAATTTATGCCGGAAAGGTTTCGCTTTGACCAATGGGCTTTTACCAAAAGAAAGTATGATACTATCAGACTCATTCATATAATAACACCCCCTAGATTAATATCTATATGGGTACGCCTGACTGTATATACACATATTTATATTTTCACATGTGTGTGTGTATTTGTGTGTGTCCCATGCAGAACTGGGAGAATATGTTATGTAAGAAGTTTTCCATTTTATTTAGCGATTAGATATAAATATATATATATATATATATATATATATATATATATATATATATATATATATATATATATATATATATATCGAGGAGGTACGGTAGGGTAGTGGATAGCGGCTCAGATTGAGGAATTCAAATTCCAGTCGAATCCATTAAATTCACTTTACGTGCTAATACACTTGGGAAACGTATTAATTCTCTTCTTCTCCCTCCAGATATGGGTAAAATAGTAGGCCAGACTGGGTTCTATAGCCTTGGATGGCAACTAGTGTAGAAGAAAGACAACTCTGAATTCAAAACCTGCGAAGGGTTGTTTGGGGGACCTTGTGGCACCTTCAAAATGTGTGGTTGGTTCTGCACAAAGACTTCACCACTATAAGCAAATCATGTCATGGTGTCTGGCTATCGGTTCCTAGGAATTGAGCTGCTTGACTCTCATACATCAAATACTTAGGGTGAGTCCAATATATATATATATATATATATATATATATATATAAGCAAAAATGGATTAAACATATGAAAAAAGAAGATAAGAACTGTCAGTTTGACACTAGGCCATCTTTAGTACCTTCTATCCTGTTTTACTGATATAGAAGATATATTTTTTACTGATATAAAAATCTATCTGTTTGACATTGATGACAGATTTTATACTGTTACTACCTGGTAAAAATTGCTTGCAATCAAATATAACCCATTATTTTTACACGCACACACACACACACACACACACACACACATATATATATATATATATATAAATATATATATACTGTGTATATTTATCATTATCATTATTGTTTCGTGCGTGTATAGTTTGATATATTGAAATTTAATAGTCATCTTTGATCATGGCTTATGTAAGCCGAAAGCTTAAATAGGATTCAAACATATATCAATATGGTGATTTCCTTTCGTCTTTCAATGATAATGTTATTAAGCTTATCAGACAATATGAACGGAACTTACTTAAAATAGATAGACAAAACTTGCCTCATATTATTTAATGAAACATACATCATATATATATATATATATATATATATATATATATATATATATATATATATATATATATATAGATAGATAGATAGATAGATATATATAAAAGTGAACAATCGTCAGACTTGACGATTGTCTGTTTAGCTATATGAAATCGTCAGACCTGTCGATTCTATCTGTTGACTTCTATGTTCACTTTTATATTTACACACGCACTATCTCTGATATTGAGCACTTTATCCCATAAATATAGCACACCTTAAAACTATATTTCTTCATATATATATATATATATATATATATATATATATATATATATATATATATATATATATATCGGTTCTTGTTGTTTCTTCATATTTTTAAGTGGATTCATACTGTGAGTCTACGATGTTTGTTGTGGGCATTTACACGCTCTATCTCTGATATTGACCACTTTATCCCATAAATATAGCACATCTTAAGACTATATATATATATATATATATATATATATATATATATATATATATATATATATATATATATATATATATATATATATGAGGAGACAACGGCTTGGGTTGAGGAATCGGAAAGCCGAGTTCGAATTCCAGTCGAATCCATTACATTCACTTATGTGCTAATACCCTTGGGAAAGGTGTTAATCCTCTTCTTCTCCCACCAGCTATGGGTAAATAGCAGGGCAGACTGTGTTCTGTAGCCTTGGATGTCAACTGGTTTAGGAGAAGGAAAACTCTGAATTCAAAACCTGGGGAGGGGCGTTTGGGGACCTTGTGGCACGTAGTGCGCCAGGTCTCTGTATTCGGCCCTTCAAAAAGTGTGGATAGTCCTGCACGAAACCTTTACCACTATAATCAAATCTCATGTTCTGTTGTAATATTTGCAATGAGCGATGCATTATATAAATTATCGAACATTGTTAATTTTATGTCATTTCTTTATCAATAAAAGGAGAATAGAATCTTCTCATCTATCTATCTATCTATCTATCTATCTATCTATCTGTTTGTTTCGCTTTTTCTTTCTTTCTCACTCTCTTTTCATCTATCTATCTATCTATCTATCTATCTATCTATCTATCTATCTATCTATCTGTTTGTCTCCTTCTTTCTTTTTTTCTTTCTTTCTTTCTCAATCTCTTCTTATCTATCTAGTCCCGTTTGTTTATACTTATCGGTCTACATACATGAAAATATTTTGGTCTGCCGTAGAATTTATTTATTCGTTTCTTCTATTTTTCTTTTTTTTATTTCTTTTTTCTTTCGACTGTATATTTCTTTTGTTGTACAGAAAGAAAGAACAGAAAACTTGATCTTTTTATTCATTTTTCCTTCTTTGTTCGGAATTAGGATTAGTTAGTTTTTATTTATTATTTGTATCTTCTTTCTGCATTTTTCTTTTCATCGTTAATATTCCGCCCCCTTGTTTTTTTCACTTACTTATTGTCTATTTTCCTCCTCCGTATCTTTCGTTTTTTTCTTTCTTAACTAGTTTTCCTTTTATTTCTCATTTTCTTTGTCTTTTTTTCGTCTTTCTTATTTATTCTTTACTTTTACTAAGTTTTATTTCTATTCTTCTTTCTTATTCACTTCTACGCACCTTTGTTCTTTAATGACACAAACTCTTCGTAGAGCATAGCACCAGAACATCAAGGGATACTGCAATTAATCTTTTTCCAGGGTTGATTTGCTAGCAAAAACTTGAGAATTATATTTCAGAGAGAGGTTGATTGACGACTTTTCCAAGGCGATTAGTGCGAAATGAATCCAATCTGTCCCAACAGAAGCTCGAGTTTTCAATTTTATTGTCCTTGCGTTAAACCACCCACACCTCCTTTCCTTCTTTTTCCTGAATCTCCATTCTTCTTCTTGTTCTTTTTCTTCTTCTCCCGCTCCTTCTCCTTTTTGTTGTTGTTTTGTTTTTCTTCTTCTTGTTCTGCTTCTTTCTTTCTTCTTCTTCTTCTTTTGGTTGTTGTTTTTGTTCTTCTCCTCCTGCTCCTCCTCCTTGTTCTTCTTCTTCTTCTTCTTCTTTTTCTTCTTCTTCGCTTGCTCTTCCTCCTTCTTCTTCTTTTTCTTCTTCTTTTTGTTGTTGTTGTTCTCCTCCTGCTCCTCCTCTTTCTTTTTGTTGTTGCTGTTCTTCTTTCTTGTTTTTTTGTTGTTGTTGGTCTTCTTCTTCTTTTTCACCTGCTCCTCCCCCTCCTTCTTTTTCACCTGCTCCTCCTCCTCCTTCTTTTTCACCTGCTCCCCCTCCCCCTCCTCCTCCTTCTTCTTCTTCTTATGCACATTTTCTTCTCTTTCTCTTCCCTTTTTCTTCTCTATTTTGTATGTTTTTTCAAGCCATATTCCCCAGAAGATTCACTTAAATCCGGTCACCTAATTTTCCCGAAACCCAAGACATACAAACACATCAGAATTAAAAAAAAAAAAAAAAAAAAAAAAACAACAAAAAAAGAGTAAATAACGTTACTTAATTTAAAAAGGAAAAAGAAAAGAATGAAAAAAAAGAACAAATGTTTTCTTTGTGCGGGATCTTGCTTCGATGGAGATTTACTCAAGAGACATTCTTTTTTTCCCTGTGAATAGAAAGAAACATTAACAGACTTCAGTTCCCAAAAGATGACTTTCAAGAATTACATAATTATATATTATCACTGCCAGTTCTGAAATTGCGATCTATATGCAGCACACACACACACACACACACACACACACACACACACACACACACACACACACACACACACACACACTTCCTCTCACCCTCTCTCTCTCTCTGTTGTATAGATGGTAGAAATAATTATAAAGCAACCTACAAATATAGATCGTGATTTTCAAATATTGGCCAAAGAGCGTAACCCACTTTGTTATTAGCAAAAATGGAAGAGAAATTCAATTTTAAAATCAATTTTTAGCTACCTACTCTCATTTTGTAAAATTACACATTGCAAGTGTAGAAATAAGTTTAAGACATATTGCCAAACTTATTTTTAGATCTTTTTTCGGAAGTTTCTATAACTTTCTATTGATGTAACGTCGTTTGAAGTGAACTCAGAATTTACCTATTGTCATTTGTACAATACATACAGCATTTTCTTCATGTTTTGAAGATTAGGAGAGGAATTAGTCTAATCGAAGAAGAAAAGCTCATTATGAACAAAAGAACAGTATTATATAAAGATGATGAAAGCGAAAAGAGAAACTTTACTCAACTATAAATGGCTATTAATAAACAATAGAACAACTGATTGAAAGCACAACAGAATATAAGTGACAGAACTAATTTCAACTCGGAACTAATTTCAACTCTGAATTAATTTCAACTCGGAATTAATTTCAACTCGGAACTTATTTCAACTCGGAACTAATTTCACCTCGATTTAAAATCAAAGTTATCAATATCCGTGAAGCTTTTTGCTTTATAATATAAAAACTCATTAGCCTTATAAAAACATGGATCCTTTCCTCAGTTCACAAACTACAGAATAGTTGTGAGAATTACTGATACTTTAATTTGAAGTTGACATAGAATTGAAGTTGGTTAGCTTCGAAAATTTCAGGTGGGAACCAGAAAATGTCAGGCGGCGAAGCAAAAAAGGGTTCGGCGGTCGCTGCTAGAAACTAGTTCCGAGTTGAAATTAATTCTGAGTTGAAATTAGTTCCGAGTTGAAATTAGTTCCGAGTTGAAATTAATTCTGAGTTGAAATTAGTTCCGAGTTGAAATTAATTCCGAATTGAAATTAATTCCGAGTTAAAATTAGTTCCGAGTTGAAATTAGTTCCGAGTTGAAATTAATTCCGAGTTGAAATTAGATCCGAGTTGAAATTAGTTCCGAGTTGAAATTAATTCTGCACCCCCAGAATATAACAAACCACTTTGTTTAGTTTTGGGAAACTATGAAAAGACATGTGAGAATACGTTAAAATCTTTAACCTCCTCTCAGTACCAGAGTAGAGTAAAACCTATTTAAAAGGTTTTAACAATCTATACGACAAGAATATTGCAATAATTTGACCGCATAAAATTGAAAAACGAGTGAGACACCTGGATATGAATTCTTCTAAATTATTTGTAACAGGACTTGAAAATGTTTTTCGGAAAAGGAATTGGGAATGAATGGAAATAAATATGAAGGAGGAACCATTTACGATTTGATGACTATATTTTTAGAATCATTGGATGATATACAAGAAATGCTAAATAACTTAAATAGGAAAAAAGTATGAATGTAGATATAAAAATAAACGGAAGTAAATAACGAGTAATTTTCAAATGTAACGTTTAGAAAAAGATCATAAAATTTGAAGAACTGGAAGTAGTTAAAGAAATAATCAAATCAGAAATAGTGAAAACATTAAAGAAAGATGGCGGAAAGCAAATAAAACGACGCATAGCAATCGGGTGGAAAGCATTTGACAAAAATAAAAATATAATGAAAACACTTTACCAATATGCTTTTATAGCATTTCACCCCAAGCAAGGCGATAATGCCACTAAGACGCATTGGGTTACTGAGAATGAAAAAAAAATTGGAGGATGTTACTGAGGAGAAAAGATAGTAAATGAAACGGGTTCAGAAGACAGATGATGGCGATTAATATTTTATTTAATATTTTAAAGTTCGTTGTTGAAAGGGAAACAGGAAAACATTAGAATAAAAATTACCCTTACAGCTAGCTATTTCAGCAGTAGAACTAGTTGTCAATCTAGAAGTACCCTTAAATTCACGTTGTGGTATAACCAAGGAGGTAAGCTAATTGGAATAATTGTTATTAAATATTTATAGAAACGACAGAGGGAAGACACTTCACGGAGGTGGGAACGTGTGTGAAGCCGAGATGTCGGGTCAGGACTGATAACATTGCAGATCCTTCTTTGGATTTTGTCGAGAAACTCAAGATACATAGCAGGAACACCAGGCCAGTTGTGGCAGTAATATCCAAAGCACAGACGAATGGCAGATTTATAGACAAACCAGATAGATTCTGGCGAGAAAAAAAATGGCTGACACGATACAGTTATCTGTCTATATTTCTGAGATGAGGGATTATGTACATTATTTACATTATTCGGACTATTGTCCTCATCTTTGTCGCCATATTTATTACAACGTTTCGGCCGTTGTACGCTCCGGCCTTCTTCAGGTGGTTGGAATGTCGAACTTAACCCTTTATTTCGCTCACTGGGGTAAACTGTTCTAGTTCCACGTGCCATGTTTAATGGATGTCAATTATCAGTTATCTCCTGTTAATTTTCCCTCTGAAAGTTTTCCACTGCCTTAGCTGGGCATTGAACTCACATTCTTTGGATCTTGTCACTGGATCTATCCTTGAGGACACATGGCACAGTGGATAAAGGCGTTGGTTAAATGTCAGTTTTAACCTCTTCCTGTGTTACAAAAGCTGTTTCTTCCAAATGATTCTGTAAGCTACGAAACAAATGGTAGTCTGAAGGAGCAAGATCGGGAGAATAAGGTGGATGAGGAATTTTCTCCCAACCAAGTTCTTCGATCTTTTGTGACGTGATTCTTGCTGTGTGGGGTCGCGCATTGTCCTGATGAAACATCACCTCTTTTCGATTCACTAGAGCAGGTCTTTTTTCCCTCAAAGCTTGGTTCAAACGCTCTAATTGCTGACAGTATATTTGAGCATTAATTGTTGCATTAGGTTCTAAGAATTCAAAGTGGATTATTCCTTGGCGATTCCACCAGATGGAAAGAAGAACCTTTTGCCCATGAAATTCCCTTCTCGGCTGTGGCTGGGGTCCTTCCCCTTTACCAAGCCACTGTCTACGACGCTTAACATTTCGATAAAAGATCCATTTTTCGTTGCCAGTCACAAGTCTATCCAAAAAAGGTGAAACAAGTTGGCAAGAATGGAGAGAAGAGCAGATGTCAACTTGGGATTTGAGGTTGTTTTCAGACAATTCATGAGGCACCCATTTTCCAAGTTTAGGAACTTCTCCAAGTTGTTGAAGATGACTATGAACAGTTGTATGGTTTGAACTGAGAACCACTGCCAATTCTTCAACTGATAAAGCAGGATTTTCTTCAAGGACTGCTTCAAGAATCTTTTCATCAAACTCAACTGGACGTCCGGTTCGATCTTCATCTTTTAATCAAACAAAATTTAATTTTATTGTTCTCTGAAATAAAATTTGATCAGTTTAAATGCATCTAAACATAAAAATAACGTTCAGCTCCATTAGACATTATAAAATACTCTTTAAATTTCGTTCATTTTAACAAAAAGTTAAAATTCGGACAGAACTTATGAGATGACCTGATACAATGTATGTCCATCAAGCAGTAAAACAGCCCTCTACTGTCATATACTTGTAATTGTACAGAAGGCGAATGCCATCTTGCAATATATTAGTTAAAATCTGTATAGTCACATACATGTTCAAAGGGACAGGTCTTGTGTTTGTCAAGGAAGTTGTTGAACATCTGACAGAGCATATTAAATAGCATAGGTAACATAAGAGCGAGCGTTGTCCTGGTGAAACTAATATATTGCTTTCTTGTTGCATGTGGAGCTGATCCCTCAAGAGCATTCCTTGGCATAGTTCTAAGGTTTGGCATTTCGTGAAGTGGGTGGTTGACTACACTCTGGAA